AGGAGGAATTGCAGCTAGTTTGCACATTAGGTTGAGTTGGAGCAAAGAAAAATCTCAAGGTTAGAAGACAGTCAGATTCTGTAGTGGATTTAGAGTCGCTGTTCTGTAGAATGGAAGTGCTATTTGTGTCGTTCAGATCTCATGAGTAGTAACATTCCTAGCCTAAAAAAGTATTTTTGAACAATTGTAGCTTTTGAAGTGTAGTATTGATGGATTACAATACATTTAAGACATTTAAAAATAAACTATTAGGTCCAGCAACAGTCAGTTGTTAGACTTTTAATCAAGAGGTAGATCAACTGGACAAAGACAAACAAATGTGACTAATTAGTCAGCAGCTTAAATAATCTGTTCATATGTTAGATTTGGGTTTTAAATTTAAAAAGAAAATTGTGAGAACATTACTTTCAAATATTGAAGTTCTGACTAAAATAAAATATATTGTTATTTGAATTTTGCAAAGAATTGCAGCACTTAAGAAATCAGTATGAAAACAAGTATCTGATAACCTGAATAAATCATTAGCATGAGCGGTGGAGCAGTGGTGTCATGTCAACTGCTTGGGTGTCTTCAAAATACTGTATGTCATGGTCATGCCTGGACAAATCAATGCCTTTGTAAACACAAAAGCCTGTAAATTCTGGCTGTTGATCGCAAACTGTTAAACCTGACCATAGAAAAGTGGAGTAAAACTTTCCTCAAACCTTTGTCTTTCTTCGTTTGTTTTATTTCAAAAAAGTAATTGAAAAAAAACTCCATGATGTTAAGAAGTTTGGCCACACACGGTGTTTGAAAACAATGCATTTACATTTTTCGTCATATTTCGACAACATATTTACATTATTAACCACAACCTTCTTCGAACTTCTTGTACTACAGCGTCTTATTTTGAATACAAAAACGAACTACTGGCCGGATGTATTATTCTGATAGTGAAACGTTATTTCCGGTGTTGCCACCTCTTTTGTCTCCGGTGCAGTGTTTCGATATCGGGGCTCTGGTTATTTTTTTTTCTAGTCGGCTTTGAGGATATATTTAAACATATATCCTAAATTACTGGTGTTGAATGACAGTCGACTGCGAAACATTTATGCCTAAAAGTAAAGCGCCAAAAATGGATGAGCTGGACTACAGTGAGTATTTGACTAGCTGTTTGCCAGGTTAGCGCTGGCTAACCTGTGGCTAGTTCTATTATTTCTTTTTTTATATAGTGAGACGCAGGTTATATCTGAGTTACACCGTCCGCGAACTTCGATGAATTATAACTACGGTCGCCATTATATCACCTTTTCGAATAAACAAGTTTAGATAACGCCCTACTCGTCTTGTTAGCATAGCTTTGCGAAAACTAAATATTGACCATTTGCCGGATGCTAACGTCGACAGACATGTACTACTTTTACCCCCCCACTCTCTAATAGTCAAGAACGGCATGTTTGGTGTAAATCTTCGCATAAATTGAAACGTCTGCAGTCTGACTCAAGCCGCAGCGTAAATACAGACTGTGGGCGTGGTTTGGGTGTTGTAGAAGAACAGCTGTTTATTTACCAGCACCGCAGAATTTAGCGGCCGTAATGATTCGATTGTGATTTTCAGCCAACGTGGTTTTTTAAAAAGATTGGCTCAGAAGAAAAACGTGGATGCATTTGTTCTACAAATATTGAAAGCAAGTCCAGAAGACAAAATATGTGTTTAGTATTGGGATATCAAGCCAACGAACTAAAATAAACAGATAAAATGGTAACTTAAAAGCATTGATGAAAATGGGTGAAAATTATAAAAATGATTTCCTATCTAAAAGAAGACAAAAAGATGTGTTAAGTGTTGAGGATATCAAGTCAACGAACTAAAATACAGATAAAATTGTAACTTAAAAGCATTGATGAAAATTATAAAAAATATTTCCTATACAAGTCTGGAAATCGTTCATTTAACCTTGTCTTGAATCTTTCATGTTGTGTGATTGCAGTATGTTACACAGAAATGTTTTAATGCTGGTTTGGGGAAACTATTATTTTTGTAACAGCAATACTGTTTGAAGCACACTAGGTTGGAATTTAATTAATTAGAAAAGCACTCATAAAAACATTCTTATTTATCCGCCTCAAATGGGAGTCAGTCCTTGCGCTCACTACCAATATGCCCTTTGTTTTCTAACAAAAAAAAAACGAAACTCCTTGTTTCCCACTTCCTCCTCTTTTTATATTGTGAGTTATTAATAGGACAGATTGGTCAGAGCCAGTTTGACAACAATGCAGTTCTTAATATAGTTGCGCTTTTAAGGGTTTTATGTTTCTCAAATGCAACCTTGCCACAGGTTTTCAGGGCACAGTTATTAGCAGCCATGGAGAAATTGTTCTTCACTTTCCCCACAGTCCCTGTAGACCTGAGCCCAGAGGAGCGTTCTGAGCTGGAGGACATCCGCAGGAGGAAGGGTGTCCTACTTCAGGAGATCCAGAGGCTCAGGGAGGAATTAAGAGAAGCCATTCTGGAGGTAGAGGGACTTGAGACCAGCACAGAGGGCAGGTAAGAAAATCCACGCTCCACTTTTTCATCTGTGTGGATGGTATTTCCACACAAAGACCATCAGGTTATTTTTAGGGGAAAGTGGACAGATACTTTGGCTGCAGATAATTTGAAACCAATGCTGTGGTCATGACTTCAAGTGAGAGTCAAGTGGCTGTGTTTGTATTTGGTACTGTTGTCATGATAGTATTTTTACAAGCCAATACGAGTATTTTCATTTGAGTACTGTCACAGATACTTCTTTAAGTTTGGTTTCACTGAATACACAATAAACTAGAAGGCAGTGTTGTATGGTATGATGGTACAGCTCTGTGGGTAACTAGGTGATGGGTAGTGTGTAGTTTACACACTATAGGACACAGATATTGTATAATAATATATTTACACACAAATATTACAAACTTTTACAGCCAGATTCATTTTCTTTTTTTGTAACAAAGTGTTTTGATCCAAAAGTTAAATTTTTAGTGTTAAACAAAGAGTCTTCTAACTGACCTTGTTGTCACACAGTTTTGTTGACAACAAGGTCAAGGTTGACAGAACAGAAAGTGAGCAGAGCTTTAACATCAACTGAACATTTTCAATTGAAAACATTGTCTCCTTCTTCCACTAAACACAGTGTCACTCACACTGAGCAACGCAACTAAATGTTTCAATCAAAAATGAACAAAATGTTGGTTAAATAAATCTTAGCAACAAAGTTGTTAAACTGAGAAGAGACATTCGTGCATTCAGTGCTCGTATTGTAAGACCAATCTGACAGTACGTCTTCTGTCTTCATCCCTGGTGTTAAAAAACCTCCACACTGTTGACATTGTTGACCTACTTAAATGAACTCCCCACGAGGACAATAAGACCCAGAACTGCAGCTGGTTGTATTGGATAGAAGTAACAGGGTATCAGGTTCGCAATATACCCCTGGTATTTGGGTTTCATTTTCATTATTTATTGCATTTCTTTGCCAGATCACAATAAAAAACTTATATATTTTTCTTGTGCAGTAAAACTCTACAGAAAAGTAGACATGTGGCCATGGGGAGAAAGAAATTTAACATGGACCCAAAAAAGGTAAATCTGAACTTTCTTACACATTTAACCCCTGTATGTCGGCACTGGCTTCACTGTGAGCGACTCTGCTTTTGCAGGGCATTGTGTTTCTGGTGGAGAACGAGCTTCTCCGACACACTTCAGAGGACATTGCTCAGTTCCTCTACAAAGGAGAAGGACTCAACAAGACCGCAATAGGAGATTACCTGGGAGAGAGGTGAAAAACTGCTCCAATGTTTGGCTTTTTTTACTCATTGCTGTCAGTGTTTTAAACAGACAGAGTTTAAAACACTGTCAATAAACTCATGTATGTGCTGTGTCACTGCAGAGACGACTTCAACATTAAAGTTCTTCAGGCCTTCGTGGACCTCCACGAGTTCACTGATCTGAACCTTGTCCAGGCCCTCAGGTAAAAGGAGTTTACTTTTGTGTGTTTATGTTTTGAACAAAGAACAGAATCTCTTGGACCGCTGTCCTGGTGTTCCCACATCCACAAATTCCTTTCCACAATGGAAATTCCCGTCTTCGTTGCCACGTCTTGCTCGAAAGAGAAAACAGTTACACATGAAAGACGCAGACGCTCCTCCTCTTCAGCTCCTCTTTGACTGACCCGAACCTCGACCTGTTTTTCCACAGACAGTTCCTGTGGAGTTTCCGTTTGCCTGGCGAGGCCCAGAAGATTGACAGAATGATGGAAGCTTTCGCGCAGAGATACTGTCACTGCAACCCTGGTGTCTTCCAGAGCACGGGTAATTCAAAAACAAACACTCATGTCATGAGTCAGATGGCATTTAGTGTGTGGAAAGTGGGGCTATTTATGTGCAGTGGAATCACAGGAAGTGATCGCAGGGGTGTACAGTTGTTTGGATTCCTGTTCGCTGCCAGGGCAGAGAGATAATGTGAGGGAAACAATGAACTTATTACCAGAAGTGACCTACATGTGAGCTCTAAGAGGTTTTTAATAAGGCCGCTGTGCTGTTGTTTTCCTGACTACTTTTCTTAAGAAGCTCTCGTGGTAATTGTGTTGTAATCAGACAAAGACAAACTGTCCTTCACTCCAAATTTGTTTCCCATGACTCAGAACGCCTGTGTTCTTCTCTTCTGTCCCCAGACACGTGTTATGTGCTGTCCTTTGCCATCATTATGCTGAACACCAGTCTCCATAATCCCAACGTGAGAGACAAACCCGGAGTTGACCGCTTCATCTCCATGAACCGAGGCATCAACGAGGGAGGCGACCTGCCCGAGGAGCTGCTCAGAGTCAGACCAACCTCCTTCTTTAAACTCAGTGGACAGTAGCACAGACATCGGTTCTTTGCTGACCTGATGTCACTGTGTTTTATTCCCACTCTAGAATCTCTACGAAAGCATCAAAAACGAGCCGTTCAAGATCCCCGAGGACGATGGGAACGACCTGACCCACACCTTCTTCAACCCAGACAGAGAAGGCTGGCTTCTAAAACTCGGTGAGATGAAGTCTGACCCTTTGTACAGATACACTTGTAAATGATGAAACCGTGTTCTGTGTGGTGCTGAACTCTTCTTCTTTTTCCTGATGCTTTGAGAACCTGCTGTCCTGACTCTGAGCCTCTCTGTACCTGAGTTGTCAGCTCACACTGTGGCAAAAACAAAAACGAAAAACAGACTGATTTCTTTGAGTCACTCCATGTTGTGCATCACGAGCAGTGTACAGACCTGATGGTTCTTTTTTGCATGGCGGGGCCTGTGATCTGTGTGTCACTAATACATGATCTCTTCCTTCTCTCTCTCTCTCTCGTCCTCTATTTGACCTCTTTGACCCCCCCTCTAAATACTCTCTCCCTCCTAACGTCTGCTTCTTCCCTGCGATTTCCACCCTCTACTGCTGCTGCTTGTTTTCTCAGGAGGTATGTACAGTCAGAATTGTTGTGTTGTACTTGCTGTGCTGTAGTACACATAGAGTAGTTTACAGTAAATATGTAGTAGACTGTAGTGTTTCAGCTTGAATGATCTTTGTGACCGTGGTGTTGTTTGACAGGGGGACGAGTGAAAACCTGGAAGCGGAGGTGGTTCATTCTCACAGACAACTGTCTCTACTACTTTGAATACACCACAGTGAGTACGACTGTGTGACACTGATGGATACATCCACATCCAAACACTTTACAACAAGTTTAGATCTTTACTACACTGACCTACTTTTGTACTTTTCATTAAATTAAAGGTAGACTCCAGGCATTAGATAATTAATTAGACATTGTTAAAATATTTTTTATCACTTTATTCCCTTCTGGTACTTTGGTTTCTATTGGAGGAATCCATTCTTTTTTTTAAAGAATGGATTTTTCCTCCACGGCTTTGACAGTATCAGCAGGTGAGTGCTTACATCAGTGAGTTCTCAAGTCCTCCTCTGTGTTTGGTTTGTCTTCTCTCTACCAGGACAAGGAGCCCCGAGGTATCATTCCTTTGGAAAACCTCAGCATCCGTGAGGTTGAAGATCCCAGGAAACCAGTAGGTTTGAATTCCTGGTTACCAAATACATGATATTATAGTTCAGAGGTGGTGGTTGTTGTTGTTGAAGTTCTTGTTATTTGTTTTTCACAGAACTGTTTTGAGCTGTACATCCCCAACAACCGTGGTCAGCTGATCAAGGCGTGCAAGACAGAGGCCGATGGGAGAGTGGTCGAAGGAAACCACATGGTCTACCGTATCTCCGCCCCCACACCTGAGGAGAAGGACGAATGGATTCACAGCATCAAGTACGTACATAGATGAAGGACACGAGTGTCTCCACACACGGAGCCTCCTCTCACCCGCTGTTCCTCTGTCCAGATCTGCTGTCAGTGTGGATCCCTTCTACGAAATGCTGGCCGCCAGGAAGAAACGTATCTCGCTGAAGAAGAAGGAGGAGCAGCCGTAAATGTTCCCTTCACTCTTCCCGTCTTCCTCTGTCCTTCACATTCCTCCTTCCAACACCGCTGAGTTTCCGCTCCTTGTTATCTGTCCGTAGCCTTCATTTTCCTGACCTTCCTCAGAACCTTCCAGAGCTTCGGGCTCACTCACTGTGGCTGCCTCGTCTACACTACTGATACTGTTAGAACAGACTAAACAAACAGGGAGGACAGAACGTCCTCTCACCACGGGTCCATTAAACTGTGAAACATGTCCACACTCTGATATTCACACCGATGCAGATATATTCACACCTGTCACAGCCCCTCATATTCACTCTTGACTGCCTTTAAAAAAATCTATAATCTATAATCTAATCATATATTGGCATGAAATTGGCAACAAGACAAGAAAAGTTCTAGGAATTTTACTTATGAAAAATGACTTGCGCTTCATCAGAAATGGTCTGTGATGAAGTGCAAATTTTTATTATTTAGTAAATCTTTGTTTACAGTAGTATATTTTTTACTATGTATGTGTGTTTAAACAAATGTATATATTTGTGTCTATATATGTACACATAGACACATTTATATATGCACATACATTCATATATGTATGTATATATTCATATATATGTAGACTGTATATATAATATATATTTTTTGTATATATTATATAGATGTCTAAATATATGCAGTATGTATATATACATACATATGTATAATTACTATGATCATATATCGTATCTGCATCCGTGTGAATGTTTTTCTAATTCAGGATACCAAGTAGCTCCACCAGGTCCTGTGAATTCTTCCTCCGACCCATGAATGCTGCCTGTGTGAGGCGTCGCCTTTTTATTGGCTGCTCACACGCCATTGTCACTCACGTTTGTTCAGACAAGCAGAGCAAATGATTTATGATGTGTGTTGTAGCAGATTTAAGAAGTACACTAACATTTAACTGCAAGGTAAATATCCCCAGGACGGCTTCATAAATGCTGGTATTTGTTCACCTCTAAACAAATACTGTCTTAGTACACTAAAGTATATAGTATATTATAATACAAAGAGGACTGGTGCATGTCATGCGTCCACTCTTGGTGGGTGTTAATGGGAAGCTTCATAGCTGCTGTTGTATTTAGTAGTGTAAAGGACTCCCAGAGCAGTAGTACAAACTCCAAGAATATTTGCCAGTCCAAGTACCGCCAGTATGAACAACGATAACTTACCAGCCCAGTATATTAAGAAAACAAATGTACTCCTAACAGGACTATTTGTTGACCAAAGATATGATGTACCATGTAGTAACACTGGAGCAGGTACTTCTGAAGTCACACGTACACAGAAAGAGTGACTATATAACAAGCTCGTGGCTCACTTAATCTTAATGGGAATTATTTTCTCCCACTAGAGGGAGCCTAAGTACCACCATTGTTTTGAGTACCGCAGTTTGAGAATCTCTGCACACAATCGCTGTCCTACACACAGGAATAGGAACCAGTCCACAGAACTAACACTATGTGTCAATGGAGGTTAATACCTCTTACACACACACGCACGTCCTATAGCTTAATGCTCCCTAAGCTAGTGTTTACCTAGCTTACCTACACTACGGTGCGACGCTCTGACACTGCAGCATATCATAAACCATTCCCTGCTGTCACGACACCACAGAACACTGTCTCACTGTTAGACTCCGGTCCGTCCACTGCAGTCAGTCACCGGGAGTCACAAGGGCAGCTCATCATTATGTACATGTTGTTGTTTTTTTTTCTTTTTTTAAATGTAAATAGCTGTTAGTATATTTGTTTACAGTACACATAGAAATGATTTAATTTATTCCTCGTCTTTTGTTAGACTCTGATTGATTTTTGTACGAGCTACTGTAGACGTGCATGTTGACAAATGGAGGCGTCGGTCGTAGGCACTGATTCGTCTCTTGACCATGCTAGTGCACTGAGTTGAAGTTAGCGGTAGTGTTCTGCGTTAACCTCGGAATAGCTGATTTAAATCGAAATATCGTAGTTATGTTTGAAATTAAGATATGAAGACGTTTGTAGACGGACTTACATCCAGATTGTGCTCAGATTCAGGAAAGCACAAGAGAACACATTAGATCCACTTCCTGCTGTCATGCAGTGACGGGAGAGTCGACCCTGAATGAAGAACGACCAAATAAGGAACACTAATGACATTTTTTTATTTGTTACGTGACGGATGTATTTTAGATGTAATGACAGAGAACTAGGTTTTACTTTTCGTTAGGTGGTAGATCTTCAACATCATATGGCGCCCCTACTGGTGTTCACCTGAAACTTTCATGTGAAACGTTGAAATTTTGATTTTAATTTTTTTTTTCCTTTTGGGGCTCTGTAACATCCAGCTCATAAACTGTTCTTTCTTTTCGATGTTTTTTAATGGTAGGGAAAATAATTACTGCACTTTATCAACTTAAGCGTTTTTCTTTCTTTTTTTTTCATTTTTGGTAAGAATGCTTCAGTACTCTGTAGCACCCTCTACTGGTTGACCCGTACCCACTGAAGTATGCTGTTGGATGAAGACAGTTCAAAAACGATGCATGCGACTCATTGTCCTAACATAGATCTGTGATTCTGTCTCTTCTGTTTACCTACCGGACACAGGCCTCACGGTGGCGCTCTAACACGTGTGTCTCCATCACGCTGGCCGTCAGTAGGTCTCTGCCTTCTTTTTTTAAAATGTGCATAGTTGCCAAAAAACAAAAACAAAAAACTAAGGTGTTTCCATATAGACAAGAGAATGAACACTAAAACGAACCCAACCAAAACTGCCCTCTCACCCCCCCTACAGGTAACGATTCCTCTCACACCCACACTTTATTTTTTCTTTTTAATGAAAACACCTGGATTTTGTATTTATTTATTTTTTATTTACTGTGAGGTGATGACGAGTTGATCATCTGTAAATGTAGCAAGAAGAAAACAATGATACGTTGGTGCCAGTAAGCTACTGTGGAACAATAAAACAGTGAACGGAGATGAAACACGTGACTGATGTTGTGCTCATTGATTGGTTATTTGTCTATTACCAAAAAATGACCTTGTGTACGCGTGAGTCTGCGGCCGTGTACTGGTACGTGCCGTTCATCTCTCCGGTTCATCTCTCGTGTTTGGAGTTTGCGAGTTCTCTCCGTGGGTTTCCTCTAACTGTCCATAAACTCAATCATAGGTGCCGGTTCTGTGGGTGATTCAGGGTCGCAGCACCAACGGAGAGTTCCGAACAAACTCGGAGATTGCCGAGCAACCGCCACCATAAATCGGCGCCCATGAAAACTCAACCAATAATGTGAAAGCTGGGATTGACGTCATCACCCCCGCCGCTCGTTCGTTTACCTGGTAAGTCATATTTAGACTTTGTTCTAACAGAAGTTTTGTACCTGTTTTATCCGTGTAAAATGTATATATTGTGTTGTTTCAAACTGAGTACACCTTTAAATGTTTTTAAACCAATATCTGTGGAAGCAAGACGTCACAGGAGTTCTAACCTGGCACTTTATTCAAAGCGCGCCAAAACAAAGTGTACAGAAAAGGCCCAAAATGGCGATGAAAAAACGATGACGTCATGGACTACACACCAAAAAATAATTTGTTTGATACAGAGTTTTTAAAACAATTTCAAACCAACATTGTGATAATTATCTATTAAATGAGACAAAGTTCTATTCACCAAACATTCCGCTATTTCTTCAAAGTACAGACGTACAGTATATCAGTTTATCAATGACTCACAATATAAAAAATACACGTTGAACTCGTTAGTCCTACAGTTTCTTTGGTAAATTAGCTGTATTTTCATGGATATCATTCAAATAACCCAAAATTAAAAAGAAATACAATAAAACAAACAAATACCACGTTATTCTTTCAGTATCGTCCTAAATTACATTATTTATTACTTTATCACAGAACAGAACTCAGACCCTCGTAGTAACAGGAACGAACCAATATGTCAGTCGTGTTCAGACGTGTCATAAACTGATGATTGAGATTCATATGTTCACGAAGAACCTCACAAAAAACTTCTATACCTGTATTCTTATATAAAAAATGCAAGAAAATCTAGTGTGTTTTTTTTTGTTACTTTTTACAGCTTGTTTTTTTCACAGGGTCACGGAGCGCGACTGGAGCCAGTCCTAGCAGTCACCAGCAGAGGGAGGTGTTTCACCCAGGACAGCTTTTCGGTCCATTACGAGGACAAACAACCACTTACGGTCAGATTTACTGTGTGAATGTTAAAGATGTCGCTGTAAGGCAAGAGAACTAACCACTGTACCACAGTTTGGCCTCTTTGATGATTCACCTCAGAATATAAACTTAATTAATTTGAACTTGAATTATTGCAACTCACAAAACAACAGGTGAATGATCAAGTTCATACTCAAAAGGAGGAAGCACAGCTGAACGATGACCAGTCAGTCAAAGTGACCCAGCTCAGTCCAGGAGTCCTGGTTCTTCTCTGATGCTTCTCAGTGACAGGGGTCGAAGGGTATTTTTGACACGCCTCCATGAAGCTCCACCTCTGTGTCAGACCACGCAATGACGTCGCCTCTCAGGTAGCTGCCGCAGGAAGCCAGGCTGTGGATATCAGTAGCGCTCAGGACATGTGACCACATGTGGACGTCCGACATCTCGCCCACAAACGACTGAGTGGCGTCAAAACGCCCTCCGAGGATGTCCTGAAGAAACAAAAACATTTTTAACCTACAGAACTGAACAAACCAAAGTGTCCAATGTTTTAAGACACATGACTCTTATACAATGGTTCCCAAACTGTGGGGAGGGGGAGACCGAGGGTACGCAGGGGCTATGCTAGCACAGGTGCACTGATTTCTAATTTTTATTTCTTTTGTTTAACAAGAATAGCAGTTTTGTACGCTACAGGAAAAGTTTGTTCTAAAAGGTTTTTGCAGTTAGCTAGCTTGAGCTAAGCTACATGCTAAATGTTTTGTTTGAATGGCTCAGCACCCTGTGCCTAAATGCTTGGAATAAGTCGACATAGCCAATAGCTTTAAATGTTTTTGTTGAGAGGAGGCTTGACAATGGGCCTTTCCACCAAAGGGGGTGCTGCAGATGAACATTGGAAAACTGCTCTAATATAATAATTCAATTCTTCTTCTAACAGCTGAACTCGATCCCAGATTTATCTTTGTTTTTCTGCCATCTTCACCTGTTCTTGTCCCAGGATGAAGACACCCCCAGGTTTGATTGGACGCCAGGGGGAGAGATTGTTCCCTGCTCCTCTCTGGACTCCGTCCTGGTAAGCCTCCCACTGTCCGTCCCGCGTTGACCAGGTCACACAGACATGGTGTCTCTGTCCGTCACTCAGAGACAAAGGCAGCGTCACGGCCTGAGGTGGAGTGGACAACAGAAATGAGGAGGAACCCCAGGGAAATCCCATGATGCACCACCAAATAAATATGTCCCAACAGTAACTAGTAAAACGGTTGTGTTGTTAGTTTTCTGTTCAGGTCAAAGTCAACTTCTGTCCCCTCACCTTGTCGTCCACCAGCAGCTCCAAAGGGTTGTCCCCCCACTCAATGAGGACCAGCTCGTTGGCCTGTCCCGGGGCGGAGTAGGAGAAGGGTGTCCCTATGCTCTGGTCCTTGTCCGTCCTCATCCAAAGACACAAGGTAAAAGCGAAGATCTCCTGCAGCAGCGTCCTCTTCACCTGCCCGTACATGTAGTTGGTTCTTATGGGGAAACTGAGCTGGAAGGAGTCAGGAGTCCTGGAGCTTTTCTGGCTGGATCCTGTGTTCAGGAAAGGACGACATTTTTAATTCAGTCAATAATAATATATTTTATTCTTTTTAGTCTAAATCACTGATTTAACCCTCAAATATAAAACATTTTGAAAACAAAGCAAACGTCACATTTTTTAAAAACCTTAGTTTAACATAGAATTTTCATTTCAGCCCCCCAACAAAAAAATTAAGTAGATTTTAGTTTTTTTTTTTAGCTTCATAATTAAAGCCCACCATATTCCAATCTGTCTGAGAACTTTTTGACTCCAGCCCATAAGGTCATATCTGAATAATTTATAATTCAACTGGTGTGATGTCGTGATGTACATTCCTTTTTTTTTCTTCGTCAACAGATGTTTTGTTGCGTTTTCTAGCGAGCTAAAGCTACACATTTTATAGGAAATATTGAACAAAAAATTTAAAAAATGAATCATTGATTAAATGTAATATATATATATATAAAAGAAAAGTTTCTTCCAGAGCCTTTTGCTGGAACTCGTCTGTCTGGTGTCACCTGAGAGATGGAGCTGGTCCAGAACGTGGTCCAGTTTGTTGGAGTGGAGACCAGTGGTGTGTGGTGAGTAACTGTGGCTGTCTGCTTCATTACTGTGTTGATGATGATGATCGCCATCATCATCGTCATGGTGATAATGACCGCCATCCTGATGGTCACTGTTGTGGTTGTCGTCATGGTGATAGCTCTGGTCGCCCGTGCGGTGGTGACCAGTCCGGTGTCCTTCACCGTGGTCGTCTGGGTGTTCTGCATCATGGTGACTAGCGCCATCATGAGGATCTCTGTGGTCACTGTCATGGTGCAGCTGCTGCTCCAGGGAGCTCACCTTCCTCTGCAGCAGCTCCTTCAGGGAGCTGGAGAAAGAGGCGGACGTGTTCCTCCTCTGTGAGGAGGAGAACAGAGAGGGAGGTCTTCATCACTTCAACACTTCATTACTAGTACTTATTTGCAGGAAAACAAATGAGAAAAAACATGGATTTTCTTTCAAATGTTAAAAAGAGAAATAGCAAAACCTCAAAACCTTTTATAAAGATTGAATCTGTTAACAGCTGATGGACAAACTGGTCAAGTCAAGGTACATTTCCTTCCCAGGAACAAAAAGTACTTTTCTTACCTTCTGGAGATTTTATGAAGTTTGTATTTCCAAACTGAAAAATTCTAAATTCTCCTTACGTTTCGTCTTTTAACTCAGTTATGTCGACTTTACTTCACCTGTATCTGATTTTTTTTTTCTGAATTAAGTTCCCTCACCTGCAGGTTTTCCAGCCGCTCCTTCAGCGCCTGCAGCATCCTCTCCATCTGCTGCTGAGACGACGCGACGCCTCCTGGTGTCACATGTTTATCCTTCCCCTGGTTGGAGCTGTCGTGGCCTCGGTCTGAGGGCGGCCCTCCATCAGGGTGTTGGTGATGTGAGTCCGGTAGGAAGTTGTTGTTTCCATGGTGACCCTGCTGGTTGCTATGGTGCCTCTCGTCTGTGTACAGGTGATGGCCGGCCCCCTCTGCATGATGGGAGTTCAGGTCGGAGCCGTGGTGGTCGTCGTGAGGCGTCACTCCGCGGCTGAAGCCCTCACACAGAGCCAGCTTGGCCGTCAGCTCCCTAATGGTCTCCCTCTGGTCCAGGATGGTCTCTCTCTGCTGCACCAGGCTCTCCCTCAGGTGGAGGATAGTGGCTTTGGCCTCCTCGCTCGCCCCCCTCCAGCCAGCAGGAGGTGCACTTTGATGGCTTGATCCGCCTGGACCTGCTGTGGGGAAGCAGGAAGGGTCGGCATCGGCGGGGACCGGGGTGCAAATGAAGCGTGGGTGGTCGCCATAGTCGTAGCCGGACCCTGAGCTCGCAGCTGCTCCACGGAGGAGGTGAAGGAGGAGGAGGAGCGGTAGAGGAAACACAGAGGTAAGAAGCTGAGAGTTCTTCAACATCTCCATCCACAGTTCAGCCAGAAACACTGAGAAGAGAAGCTCCAGTCCCAGAGTGGCCCCCAGTCAGTCAGTCAGTCAGTCAGTCAGTCAGTCAGTCAGTCAACAGTTTGGACTGTTGTGACTGTGTTGTTGGTCTGCTGTAGACATCAGTCCTCCTGATAATGACCAGTGATGGACTCAGATGAATGATAATGACCTGAAAGACCAAACAGACAGGTCCGTGTCAGCAGGAGGTTCAAGTCTGAAGAACAACAAGTCGACTGTCAGAAAAATGAACTTTTTTAATCTTGAAAAAATCTTATGACCAATAAGTGAATTATTGTCACTGATGCACAGCACATGGACCTCTGCTCAGTTGCACCATTGGAGATGCTGGGGATTGAACCCAGGACCTCATACATGCAAAGCATGCGCTCTACCACTGAGCTACATCCCCATACACAAATAAAGGCCCGTACTGGAATTGGACCCGCGACCTTAGTGTTATTAGACTTGGAAATCCCAACAGGAAGTGACGTCGTTTGATCACCTCAGCGTGACGTCTGTGCCCTCGCCGTCTGACCTGCAACTACACATGGCCCAGGTCTGTGCCAGGACGACCGCAGCCTGTCCAGACCGGGACTAATCCAGATCAAAGACGGTTCCTGGCCAGAGGTCGGTCTGAAGACTGGATTTACAGACCAGAATTAGTCGACGGGTTCCTGAGGAGGTCCAACAGTCCTTCAACGGAGGGAAGACACCCCCCCACCCTCCCCCCCCGCTGTGCTCCCACCACCCAGACGTCTGACACATCTTAAAGGTCAAACTGCTGCGACCTCCACAACAATCACCTCATTAACAGTAAGAAATTACACTGTGGACCACTGACTGTGGACCACTGACTGTGGTCCCCAATCAGTGGTCAACAGTCAGTGGTCCACAGTCAGTGTGGGGGGGGACTGGAGGGGGGGGCAGAGAGTCGTGTCAACTCTGAGTTCAATCTCAGCCACAGGTCAGTCTATTAACCTAATTACTGACTGTTGTTCTGCCTCAGTGAGAGATAAGTCTGTGTGTGCGCGTGTGTGTGTGTGTGTGTAATCCACTGACCATATGGTGGAGGTGATGTTTAAGGCCTGTGATTATGTAGTTTCAGTGATGTCACACACACATATATTTTTAAACACACACATTTGTGCAGTTAATGTAAAACGACATCAAAGTCGTGTGACAGCGAAGAAACTGACCGGTCAGTTTAGTCTCAGTACAACTGCAGTACAGACGAGTATTCTACACTAAACAGTACTGCAACTACTACGAACAATGTGTTTTTTTAACTGTGTGTGTTTGCGTGTGTGTACGTGTATCTATGTGTGTGTCAGAATTTGATCTGTGGTTTGTTTTTCAGACATAAAAGTGAAAAAGAAAAGAAAACGTAAACCACAGAACATCAGATCAAACCAGTGAATCCAGATAAGAACAAAAATAATTTTTATCAGATCAAACCAGTGAATCCAGATAAAGAAGAAAAATAATAATAAAAAATTCTTACGAAACTAAAAACCACAGACAGAAACCTGTCATTCATTTAAAACAGTTTTTAAAGAAATAATTAATTAACGTCTAATTATGATCAGTTAAATGAATGACCCCTGGTCAGAGCAGACCAAGATCTGATCTATGTTGAACATAAATGAACTCACCTGAGTCTCTGTGTTCAGCAGCTTCCCCCTCTCACACACTGATCAGACTGAGGGAGATTTACTCTCCTTATGTCACCACCCTTCATTAACTCCCTGCTCTTCACCTCCTCCTCTTCCTGCTCCTCCTCCTCCTCCTCTTTTGTTGTTGCCTCCTGTGGAAGAATAAACTTAATTTTCTAGTCACTGTGATCTTTTGGTGAAATTGAAGGATGTTTATTATGTTTTGAAAAATATTTTTAATTAATTAATTAATTTTCTTGTCAGGAAATTATTACTATAAAACATATAATTAGAAAAGGTGAGAAAAACATATTATATAATTGTAATGATATTTGTTTTTATTGTATCTGAAAAACTTCAAATTTCACTGTTTTTTTCTAATGGTTTTCCGTCTCCATTAGGGCTGCTGCAGGAGTCGTGTTGCATTGCTGCCACCCAGTGGGAGAGCCTCACAACTACAGTGCATGAAAACGGTAAAAATCTGAATTTTGACAGTAAAAATAAATAATGTAGTGATTGAAGAAAATATATATATTCAACTTTTTTTTCTGCAGCTGTCCCAACGTCGTTAAAAAAAATGGACAAATGTTTTACAGCTTTCTGCAATGACCCTGTGCAGCCCATTAGGGTCGTGACCCCTGGTTAAAGTTTTAAAGTAAAAAATGTTTTACTAAAAAAAATACTAAATGTATTATTATAATAATGTATATTATAATTATTATCATCATCATCGTCGCTATAACCACCAGTATTCACTTGACATCCTCCTTATTCTGATTCTACTTTCCACTAGTTCTAGTACGTGGTACTGTTCATCGTGAGCCCCCTATGGTACCAGGCCTGTATGCAGCCCCCCCCTGTCCCCCCCCTCCCCTCCTCCTCCCTGTGAGAATGGGCAGCACAGGAATGTGTGACGGTCCGGTGTATAATGTGGGCCGTGCAGTGATAGAAGCTGAAAAAGTTCACTCATTATTA